CGCGTAATATTGCTAAGGTACACAAATCAAAACTTATTGTACAAATATCATACATTGAAAGACGGCTAAGGAGGTGGGTTGCCAAGAATTATTTCGCAATATTCTACCTGAAGCGTACACTCATAATTTCATTTTACCCATCATAAGTTGAAACTTGCTTTGACAATCTTTCAATCTTACGCCTTCAACTGAAGCAGTCCGCCGCACTTCGGCTAATCTCAGTTTCCAAGAGGCAGTATTTAAGTAAATCTTCTCAGCTCAGTGTAAACGAAGTATAGATCGACCATTTATTGTCTTACTTAGTTAACTCTTAGCCAGGATTTACTCAACAAAAACATTCCTCCCAAAAGAAGCCTATAAAGAACAGAATAAAACATGGTTCGATCCTGTTAAAACCCACTAAGCGTACAAATTGAACTAAAACAATGTAGTTATTGATGATGCAGATATTTCCCGTAATGCTAAGATGCAACATCTACAGAATGCAGTTGTTGGTAGAGCAAAAGAGGCTATAGAAGGTTATGGCTATGGTGGAGAGCTGTACGTTGAAGCCCTTGAGAAATTGGAATCAAGATTTGGAAAGTCTCACATTGTTGTCAAAGTTCACTTAAATCGCCTACGGAAATGGGTCAAACTGAGTGACGATCGTTTGCACGAAGAACGGCGTTTCTCAGATGTTATTTCAACTGCTGTTAAAACATTTAAGCGCCTCGGTTACACCAACGATTTACATGCTTGAATATGGTTGTTGATAAACTTCCCCATTCTCTTTGTGTCAAGTGGAAAGAGTACAGGAGAGAGAAAGAGCTGAAACATGCAACTCTTCTGGACTTTGAGAAGTGGATTGAAGTGCAAGTAGAAGTCCATGATGACTTTGGAATCCGGACAAGCAAGCCACCAATAGCCCCACCCGAGCATAAGTTAAAACATCACCATGGAGGTTCAGCAGTGTACAGTGCAGTGACAGCCCCGTCTGGAAATTCTCCGCGTTTCAACCAAAGTGGTCAGTTTACCTCACCTCTGTGCGTGATGGACGATGGAAAGTGTCACAAACTACACAATTGTCCCAAATTTAAGGAGTTGTCTGTTGGGGATAGATTAGCCAAAGTAAGGGAACATGGACTGTGTTTTCGTTGCTTTTGGAGGCACTGGGCAAACAAATGCATATGTGCAAAGCATTGCGGTGTCAACGGCTGTACCAGGCAACACAATGAGCTGCTTCATAGAACCTTGGAAGAAAATAAGTCCTTAAGTATCCCTTCTCCAGTAGAACCACCTATTCAACCTAGTCAGCCTGAACCGCCGTTGGTGGAAGGTTCACATGTGAGGCAAGCTACATCTAATAAGTCTAGAGTCTTACTTCAAGTGGTTACTGTAACTCTGTATGAACCGTGTGGTCAACTCAATGCTCACGCCTCCTTGATCCTGGTAGTACTTGTTCTCTTATTCGGGGAGATGTAGCAGACCAATTAAATTTGGATGGTCCCACTACTTCCTTGGACTTCTTTGGTATTCAAGTGACTTCTCATCTTAAAACAAAGCGAGTTTCATTTAACGTTGGTTAATGAAGCTTCAACTCATTATCTGGTGGAAAATGCTTTAGTCTCAGAGAAATTGAATGTGCCCCCTGCATCAGTCAACATAGCAAATGTTCGGTCCCTGCGGAAACATTTAGCTGACATTGAGCTTCAAGATGTGAACAGAGCAGAGGTCAAAGTCATCCTTGGAAGTGACGTCACAGAAATCATTATCCCAAGAGAGGTGCGAGAAGGACCTAGAGGTTCACCATTTGGAATCAAAACTAAGCTTGGCTGGACTGTGACAGGAACACTCCCAAGACATTCTCGCGATTCAGAATCCGTATGTTTCATTCATGTGGCTTTACCTAAAGAAGAACTTAATGAACTGGTGAAGTCTTGGTGTAAGACAGAGTCATTTGGATGCAAGTATGACAGCGATGAACGGCGATAGAAAGAAGATGAGATGGTTTTGGAGTCTCTTGAGAAAACAACTTGCAAAGTTGATGGGAGATATCAAGTTGGACTAATTTGGAAGGATTTAAATAGTACTTTGCCGGACAACAGAGCCGTAGCAGATGGGACGAGAAGATTTCGGAAAAAACCCAGCAAGAATGGTCTGTTTGGCAGAAGGAACTGCAGAGTCTAGCAGAATTCTCAGTACCAAGGTTCTATCGCCTGGTTATGGTTTCTCCCACCTCAATTCAGCTGCACTTGTTTGGTGATGCAAGTGAGAAAGCATTTTGAGCTGTTGCATACTTTCGATTTGAGTATCCAGGTGGAGAGAGACAGTGCGCCTTTGTAGCTGCGAAAACTCGTGTGGCACCGGTGAAACCACTGAGCATCCCAAGACTGGAATTGCAAGCAGCAGTTCTGAGTGTGCGGCTAGCATGTATAACCCAGAAAGAACATGACTATGAGGTGTCTTCTACCTATTATTGGAGTGACAGCAGTGCTGTTATTGGTCAGATTCGTGGAGAGTCAAAGCGTCATCCTGCTTTCACTGCCAACAGACTCTCCGGAATTCTTGATACTTCAGAGCCGCAACAATGGCGTCACTGCCCTGGTAAACTCAATCCTGCAGATGATGGCAGTCGTGGCCTGAAGGCAGATTCGAGTACTCCGAACTGTCGCTGGTTAAATGGAACATCATTTCTTCTACTCTCAGAAGATCAGTGGCCTGAAGATATTCCGAAGTCAATGTTTACTCCTGACGTGACTTGCGAAGTACCCGAAGTACCAGGTGAAACCTTCATGTCAGCTGTGGATGGTTAAAAAATCAATCCTCAGTTTATCGACTTGTCTCGTTACTCGTCGTTTGTTAAAGTTTGTCGAATTACTGCTTATGTAAAGCGATTCATCGAGAATTGCAGGACAAGAAAAGAGAAAACGGAAATGAAGATTGGCCCGTTGGAGGTTCAAGAAATTAAGAACGCAAAATTGATGTCGATCGAGTCAGCCCAAGGTGAAGTATTTTCAGCTGACATCTGTAACTTAAGTGGTGGCAAACCTGTTGGAATGAAAGGTCGCTTGAGGACGTTGACCCCTTTCTTAGATGAAAGTGACATCCTCCGAGTTGGCGGGAGGATCGACCGTCCAGCAGTGTGTTATGATGTCAAACACCCAATAATTATTCCTCAAGATCATCAGCTGTGTTGTCTTGTGATCATTGATTGCCACAAGAAGCTTAACCATGAAGGCACAGAGCACGTACCGAATGAGTTCAGATTGTTGTATTGGATACCACATTCTAGGTCTACTGTGAGAAAGGTCCTTAACAACTGCTCATTATGCAAGAGAAGAACAATCAAGCCACAACCTCCTCTGATGGCAAGCCTCCCGAAAGATCGGTTACAAGTGGCTGCACCCTTTTCTAAGATTGGTGTAGATTATTTTGGGCCAACCATGGTCAAGTACTCGCGTAAGCAAGAAAAACACTATGGATGTCTCTTTACCTGTTTAGTTACCAGAGCTGTCCACCTTGAGGTTGCTAAGTCGTTGGAGACTGACTCATTTATCAAGGCGCTGAAAAGATTTATTGCAAGATCTGGGCCACCATCAGACATTTATTCTGACAATGGTACTAACTTTGTCGGAGCCGATCGAGAGCTCAAGCGAAGTCTAGAAGAGTGGAACCAGTCTCAGATCTCAGATTACCTGTCTCAGAAGGATATTCAGTGGCACTTTAATCCTCCTGCTTCCCCCCACTTTGGTGCGATTTGGGAACGCTTGGTTCAGTCCTGTAAAAAAGCCCTCAAAATGGTGCTTCATGGTCAAGTAGTTACAGATGAGGTTTTGGAAACTGCGTTTGTGGAAACAGAAGCTCTGGTAAACAGTAGACCTCTTACTGAAGTGAGCAGTGACAGTGGATTTGAAGCAATTACTCCGAATCATTTCCTTATTTCTCGTGCTAATCCAGTGCTGCTCTGTGGCGTATTTTCTGACAAGGAAATATCAAGCAAGAAACTTTGGAGACAAGTACAAGTTATGGTTGATCAGGTTTGGCGCCGATGGCTGAAAGAGTATTTGCCTACCCTAACTGAAAGGAAAAGGTGGAATTTGCCATCGTACAACCTCGGTGTTGGTGATTTGGTCTTGGTCTTGGATGAGAAAACCCAAAGATCTTTCCTTGGAAGGATGACACAATCCGTGTTTGTGAAGTGAAGACAAAGTATGGTCTGTATAAGAAGTCTGTCGCGAAGTTAGCATTGTTGGAGGAGTGTCCACCGTAAAGGATTACGTGAACA